AGGAGTAAGAAACTACCCCTTGTGCCAAGGGGAAATGCAATTGAAACCAAGGTTGTTTCATCCCACTGCGGTAGCTTGCTGCTGATCACGAAACAGAAAACGTGTCCTGAAGGAGAGCCCAAAGCACATCTCCAGCGCAGCCACCATGACGAGGGAGGAAGGCAAGGGAGAAGGACCCCCATCCCACTGCTGCAGCACGGGGACAGCCCCACACATGCAGCTTCTCGAAAGGGCTTTGTCTGGACACAGACGGGCTGACAGCGGGATGCTGAGGCTGGTGATGAGAGCGACACACTGAAAGGCAAGTAGGAAACTCACAGGGCTGGGGCAAATTCACAAGGAGCCCAAACCTTGTGACGTGAGATTTACCGAGCAGAGCACTCAAGGCCCTGCAAATACAGTTTGGCAATAAATAACATGCTGCTCCGAGACAGACTCCGGTCCCACACGTCCTGCCGAGTCAGCAGTGACCTTTGTCTTGCAGCATTCCTGACATCAAAATACAAACTTCAGCAGTGTGGAGAATACGGCTCTCAGATTAGAGATTAAGATAATTACTGCTCCTACCTAAATTAGAATAATGCATTTTCCCATCAACCAGAGGCAAACGTTCATGTCATTTGTTCGCTTAATGGAATGGTAATTGTTGATTTTCTTAGACGTTTTCTTGGGAAACAAGTGCACGATGCTGATGGCTGGCAGCAAGTTGTGTGTGCACACACTGTCTCTAGCTTGGGGATCGGCCAGGGCACACTGGCAGCAGTTTTCCAGTCTCCTTGAGCATATATGGCAATGGGAAGGAGGCGTCCCATCTCTCCTGGAGCTGCCTGTGATCTGAAAGCCAGTCCTCACTTGTAACTACTGCTAGATCCCTGGGATTTGAGCTGGACAACCTGAGCCCGGTGTATGAACTATCTGTCCGGTGCACTCTGTGTTCGTAGCCCTGGATAGACAGCAAACATTTTGCTCCCTCTCTTTTAAAACTTTCCCTAGGAAACAGGTGGAGGAAAGGAAGCATCTGCCTCTCCATCCTAGTGAAGAACTCGGGGAAGACAGCCACCAGCTGCTATCAGGTATGAAGGCTCCACTGTCTGCCTTAGGACAAGGGAAAAGCTCGGGTCACAGTATAGCAACCCTCTGCCTCAGCTCCCATGCTAAGTGTGCAGACTTGCAACCACACCATTCAAAGCCCAGGTCCCTCCGAAGAAAGAAGTCACTCTACAGATTCGTAGTAGACCATTTTGACATCCCTTGATCATAAGCAGTTTGCATACATCAGGAACAGTGCAGGACCTCCAGGGCACTGGAGAGCTGTGGCAGGCAAACTCTGCGTGCCTCACTTCTGTACTGCATGTAGCATACGAACCGTAGTGCAGCTGTCCCTGGGTCAACACACAGATGATCTCCTAGGATGACACCAGAATAGAGTTCAGACACAAAGCAGGAGGTAGGCAACAGAGAGGATCAGAAACTAGAGCCTTGATAGTGCAGAAGAGACACAGCACCAGGGAGAAGCTGGGATGGAAATCAGGAAAGCCAAGTGTAGCTGGCTTGAAAGCATCTGGAGATTGACCCCCCTAAAATCCTCACTCTGGTTACTGCTTTGTATTTTTCTTTCAGGTGAGCCCCTTTGCCTGCCTTACAGGAGCTCATACACCAAGCAGGCAGCTGCCCTGGCTTCCTGCACTACACGTACTATTGCTGCAGCACAAACCCACTTCTTGGTTTCTTTCAGATTCTCCTCCTACTTCTGTGTTGTACTTACAGTGGCTCTTAAAGTTACCGCTTGTGATTAGCAGAGAATACCCTTGAAAATTCCGTTACTACCTTGCCTGCTTTCCTAGCTCAGCGCCAATAGATGTGCAGAACATCCCCTGAAAACTATGTTAAGTGGATGGAAGAATGCCTATGGAAAAGAGCACATTTGAATGAGGCCTCGGGTGACTGAAGTCGGGCTGATTGATTCACATTTTGGGATCTTACAGAAAAATACTTGACAAAACCAAAAGGGTTTTGTCCTTTGCTAAGCAGCAAGTTCAGGGAGGGAATCAAGCTAGAGAGAACAGACTGCAAGGAGGGACTTTTTTTAGCTGTGCTGCTAATTTGCATGTGTATGTAGATAAAGCAGATGTGCAAACGGATGTCTGTTTCTGTAAGAAAGCTCTACAAACCCTTGTGGCTTTTCCAGTCGGAGCAGGTGTTGGGAGAAGCTCACCTGAGTCTGAGTCGTCTGGGCTGACCGAGCTCAACAAGTCTTTCTCTTTTTCATAGTCACTTTTGCAGAGCAACTGCCCTTCCTTAAGAACAAACTCGTCCCCTTTCCTCAGCTGTCGTTCACAGACGCAGCAGCAGAAGCAGCTTAAGTGGTAAACACACTCCAGGGCTCTCATCACGAACTCTGTTGGGGCGATCTTTTCCATGCAGCCACTGCACTTAGCAGCAAACAGCCTGTAAGAAAGAGAGGCAGCAAAGTCAAAGGGAACATCAGAGCACACGCTGCATGAATTCAAACACAGTAAATTCTCTAATTTAACTGCAGATCGGTTTGGCTCATGCTTTTGCACACTTCAGGACTTGCATCCTTAGTCCTGGAAACATCACAGGCATGCAATTTATTCAAATCCCAATCCCTTTGGTCTTAAGGTTCCCAAATCACCTTTGCTGGATAAAAAAATAGCAAGATTTGTCCTTATCTCACTGTTTTGTTCCTCTTCAAAATGAGAAACAAAAAGGAGCTCTCAGAGTGTGGGTAACTTGTTCAAAACCAGATTTACTCTAATTCATCTTTTAGAGGAAGGGCCAATTCACACTTTGCTTTATACAGGCTCTCTTGTTTCAGCGCTTAAACCCTGTTCTGAACAGATTTCGTGGCTTTCCATTTTTGGTAGTGTCTGTCTCTGAGGAGGCTGAAGAACGAGCACAGGAACAGGCACAAAACCTCAGCGCGATTGCTGAGGACAAGACGACGCGCACACACGTGCAGTTGCACACATGCAATTGATAAGGTCAGGAGTGAAATAACATGGCTTTTCCTTGGATGTTGAGTTATTCCAGAACAACCTGTCTCTGAAGGGAGCACTGTGCATTTTAAATGGTGTGAAACATCCTCTGGCAGAGATAGGCAGTGATACAATCTGCTAAATTACCACTGTAATCACAGGCTCTAGAATATACACTATTCAAGACCAGTTCTTATTAAACCTTTATAAATCCCCTCTTTCTTCCATCAGTAATTTTCTAAGATCAAGTTAGGATGATTCAGATTAATTTTATTTTGCTTTTCTAATGGCAACTGGGAATCTCCCTGAGTGAGCTTTTAGGAAGAGGGCTGCTTCAGATAAAGATGAATAGCAAAGCTCCGTCCCTGTATCACACAGTGGATTTGGTGGTTTGAAATCCAGTATCTTTTACAGCAATACATCAAAGTGCGAGGTGCACTAACATTTACATTATGGCAATGAAATTAACACAACTGCACCCATGTGTGCACAAGGAAAAAAGGAGATTCTGCCTTTTGGGACGGGGTACGCTGATGGGTTTTTTCCATCCTTAAAATCATCACCTTTTACAAAAAAGGCAATTATCTTCAATTTTAGAAGGCACAGGCTGTGGTAGTTCCTGATTCCTCCAAAGCCTCCATTTTGTCTGAGCTGAGGAGTACAGCAAAATGGCAGTCACTAGCTCCTCACAAGCGATGGAGTCACTGAACGGGCAGGAGGGAGAGGAAAATGTAAATCCATTTACACATGGCATCCAAAGGAAGGCTCAGAGCCCAGGAACTTGTGGCGTTTCCCCATCTGTATCTTCTGATCTAATAAAAGAGATCTACGCTATTAACCTTGCAGGCTCGGTGCGTACCTCGGCACGGCCACAGCCACGAGGTAACAGCTGAGCCCTGTACGAGCCACGCAAGGTGGACTGAGCAGCTCTTTTTTGGCTACATAACGAATTAGATCTGTTAAAAGGACACTGATGCCATGCAGGACCCACAGGCACTGCTAGTAAATAGGCCATCTTATAAGGGCTTGCCTGCAAGGTTTTCCTTACAGTGCTTTAGCTGGCAAATTCCTAAGCAGGAGATATTTTTATCTATACACAGTAACATATCTGAAAGGATTAAAGCACAAAGGGGAAGGAATAAAAAAAAAGAGCAAACAGATTTTAAGCACTTTAAAAAGTTGTTTCTATTTAACTGCTTAAACCGATTTGACTCAGTTTAATTAAGCTTGTATCTTTTGTCTGAAGCCTGTTGTTATGATGGAGCGCGCTTAAGGACTCCGCAGATTAGCAGACCCGGTGGGAAGGCACCGGCTCATTCACACCGCTGCGCCGGGCGACACCCGCTCGCTGCC